CTGCTGAAGAAATCATCTAGATAATACACAAAGGTAGAAATGTATTGTACAACATGACCCCACTTGCCCTCTCCACCAATGAACCCAGTGGATGATTAACCAAAGGAAAATCAATATACTTGCTTTCCAGTGATGTCTGAAATGATTCCGTGTGACTACTCAGTCCTACAATGGGTTCCTTCTCAGGAATGTGAGCAGATTTATAGGAATGGAGAGTCTTTCAGCAGTCCCAAGAAGACCACTTAAACATAAGTAAACACAGGAGCAGTGACTGATGGAACTACATATACTGACAAACAGATCAAGGGCTGCAAACAGAAAGGATTTCCCATTCAATAGGAGAAGGAAGAGAATGAGATACATTAGAATTCTAAAAGTTTAAGTTTCTGATTTTTTTTATAAAGATTTTTTTGATGTGGACCATTTTTTTAAAGTCTTTATTGAATTTGTTACAACACTGCTTCTGCTTTATGTTCTGGTCCCTTGGCCCCAAGGCACACGGGATCTTAGCTCCCCAACCAGGGATTGAACCCACAACCCCTGCATTGGAAGGCAAAGTCTCAACCACTGGACTGTCAGGGAAGTCCCTAAGTTTCTGATATTTTGATATGAAACTCTGCATATGACGGCAATGCATGATCAGATGTCAGTAAAATTCTTTTATAAAATGTAATTTAAGATCAGATGAAGCCATTTTTAAAAAATCAGAATTTAACTGGATATCAACTTACATATTTATAAATTATATGATTCTAAGAATATGAAAGAATGCAAAAATGTCATATGTCTTATGCAGGAAGCATGTACATATCAGCAGGGCCAAAGAACTGCAAAATCCAACAAGTAAACAAGCTGAGTGAAAGCTGTAGATTTCTGTGGGTAGCAGAAAACTAGGTAAAATAAACACTTAAAATAACATCTTTAGCTCATGACATATATAGTAATTATAAAAGTCCTTAGTATGACAGTTAGGATACTACAAAGAACTGCTTTAGCTATTGATAGCTCTGGGTTTCATGTCTGACCAAAACCTCTGTTCATGGGGGAAAAAAAAGTCACCTGGGATAGTAATTTCTTTACTGGAAGGACATGTTTGATCTTTAGAAAGATTTAGAATTAAGTAGTAATTTCTTTACTGGAAGGACATGTTTGATCTTTAGGAAGATTTAGAATTAAATAGTTTGGAGAGTTCCGCTTCCAGGATAACAGGGAAAGTTGCTTCAGAGACCCACGCTCCAGTGAAACAAGCAAAACTGACAAATACTGTTTTATAAAACAACCATTTAAAGTCTCTGGAGGGACTTCCCTGGTGGACAAGTGGTAAAGAAGCCACCTTCCAATGCAGGGGACGCGGGTTCAATCCCTGGTCAGGGAACTAAGATCCCACATGCCACAGGGCAACTAAGCCCTCATGCCACAACTACTGAGCTCGTGCGCCTCAACTAGAGGGCCTGTGTGCCACAAACCACAGAGCCCACGCACTCTGGAACCCGCGTGCCACAACTAGAGAAGACAAAACCCACACACCACAACTAGAGAGAAGCCCACGCACCACAACAAGAGAGAAACCTGCACACCACAACAAAGAGCCCACACACCACAAACAAAAGATTCCATGTGCCTCAACGAAGTTCCCACGTGCTGCAACGAAGACCCAGCACGGCCAAAACTAAATAAAATAATAAATAAATCTTTTTTTAAAAACTTAAAAAAATAAAGTCTCTGGAAATTGTCCTAGGGCATATTCAAATGAAGAAACATTATTCAAGAAAATCTATGAAAACTTGGTATTGGGATAGTTTGTGGCATTTGAGCCATAACCCATTTACTACCTTGCCCCAGTTTAGGTTGACAGAAACTCCACTCCAGGTAAGTGTGGCCAAGAGAACAGAGCTTCCTCTCAGCTTTCAATCAAGACTTACCATATGTCACAGAGAAAGGTAGACCATCAGCATTTCTCATCCTTCCAACTCCAAATTGAAGAAAATAAATTCCTGGTGAGTGTGGCCAACAGAGCAGACTCCCTTCCTCCACCCAGCCTCCACTTAAAAAACAGAAGCTTTACCACAGTGCAGTAGGCTGAAAATGCTGGGACCCCAACTGTTCTCACCCCGGTTCACTTGTAGGACAGAAGTTCTACACCAGAAGCAGCAAGTCAGAGGCTACTGACTAGCCCTGTGCCCAGAACAGCGACTCAGAGAATCCACCTTGGAGGAGAGGCAGACTATAAGAGAGCTCTGAAGCTCTCCCCAAAGTAACTGACTTTATTTGAAATGGAGTGTGAGAAGTTCAAGCCTAAGGGTGCTCTCAAAAACAATAACTCTTCTTAATAAAGAGTAACAGCTAAATCATAGGCCAGCTAGTTCATCAGAAAGAACCATGGAAAGAGACAGCTAAGAAGAACACACATGCAGTCAGAAAAAAACTCAGAGTGGCCTCAAAAACTACCCCTCTCCAAATTTAACTGGATCAGACTGCTGAGCAATTTATTCTCCAGGGCACTGTATCAAAATGATAAAATGATCAACTGATAATTAGTGGAGCCTAAAGGACAGGATGCAATACCAAAAGAAGAAGGCAGCTTAAAAGAAAGATGTTGTAAAGAGATACTCAAAGATAATCTACTAAAATCATTGTAATACTGGTGGTGTTTGCACAACTTTGCTAATATAACAGAAAACCTCTAAATTATACACTTTAGTAGGATAAATGCCATGGTCTGTGAATCATATCTTAATAAAGCTGGGTTTTTAAAAAGTATAAAAATGCAATGAAAAAAGAATGTTCAACCTAATTAGTAAGAAAGAGGCATTTTACCACTATTTGACATCATGTTATGTTAAAGTGGGTTTCCTTCTCTACAATGTAAGCTACCTAAGACCCAAGGACTTGACCTACTTTTTTCACTTTTATATCCCAGCACCTAGCATAGTAAGCTATCAATAAATACTGTTGAATACATGAGGGAATACCTTTGAATTCCCTCTTACCTCAACCTTGAAATTCCTTTCTCCTCCTACACAATTTCTTATCCTATCCTTTCATTTTCTTACATATCAAATACTGATCTCTCCTTCACTTCCTCTCTAGTACTAAAGCAATTAGTTTGTATTATAAATGAAATTCAGAGTCTCAGATCTTCCTTTGACATTTTTGTTGTTTCGTTTCCTTTTGGCCACAACGTCCAGCTTGCAGAATCTTAGTCCCTCAACCAGGGATCAAACCTGGGCCCTGGCAGTGAAAGCTCCAAGTCCTAACCACTGGACCACTAGGGAATTCCCTCAGATCTTCCTTTGTTATCATTTGTGATCTTTCTGGTAAGCAATACCATATAGGGAGAAAAAATATTTACTGAAGAAAATATTTACTTAAAAAAAAAAACAGCTAAGCACTTTATGTAGAAACACTGTTAACTGTGATTTAAGCTAAACCTAATTGTTTTGGTTTATGCTTTAACATGCTCATAAAATATCACTACCCATTTATTTTAAAGCATGTCCCCTTTATTAACCCTCTTATTAATTAATTAAGAATTTTGCTTATTTGTTATTAACAGCAATTTTTCTCATACTTTCCTACTCCACAATTGTCTGCATGTACTATGCTGGTGACTAGCTATCCAAATGTTAAACCATCTTTTACCAAACTAGTGAATAAGTGCAGAGAAATTGCTCTCCTAAATTTAAAATCTTTTTCCAAAAGAATAAAATACCTAGGAATAAACTTAACTAAGGAAGTGAAAGATCTGTATATTGAAAACTACAAGACATTAATGAAAGGAAATGCAGAACACACAAATAAATGGAAAGATATTCTGTACTCGTGGAAGAATTAACATTTTTTAAATGTCCATACTACCCAAAGCAATCTACAGATTCAATGCAAACCCTATCAAAATTCCAAAG